ACTTGCTAAAAAAATTGTAAAAAACCCACATGCAAACACAGATAATGTTCTTAACATCGAGTTTCGTAACAGGTCGATTCACTGAAATGTTTAAACTAACTTAGGTGATGTACTTGATTTTCCGAGCGCACATTTTCCAAGTTACGCCTTACGCACTTGTAAGACGGAGACAAGACAGACAACAATAATGGCCGTGTGGCGTCCTCTCAATGACAAAGTACACGCCAAACGTCTTCACACCCATTTCACAATAGGAAGATAAATATTTTTTTTATTGCATTTTCACCGTATAATGTTCTGATGGTTGTATTCTTCAAATTATATTTTTGACAAAAAAATTTACACATGCTTTTTTTTTTTACTAATTCAATATAATTTCATACAAACATTATAAATTTATAACAAGTGAGCAGTAACAATATAATAGTTTTATATAACATAAGTAACAATATAAATTATATTGGATAGGTATCATTTGTTTGACATTGGTGATGATTTGCCAGAAATTTAACAAGTTTATTATACAAAAAAAAGCATCATCGAGCTATAATGCACATCATACATCAGTGGTGTAGTGGAGGGTTTTTTGTTTTTTCTCAAATTCTCATACTCGTCATACCAGCGTCTTCGTCCAATATGACCGCCGCAACAGTTTATGTAGGTATACTAGGTACCTTATTCTTGTATTTGTTGTCTACTGACTATATACTGGTTAGGTCGGATAAGAATTCAGAGGTACCTTGTATGTGATAACTGATAAGTAATAGTTAGATAAATCCCAGTCCGGTGATCTGATGTCCGACAACGATTACAAAATAGTCACTTATTTTGTTGCATTTACCTATTTGAACACATTTTTCTCGCCACCGATGCTGCCGGTTATTTATTATATTATTACCTTACAGTTTTAGTTAGTAAAATAATTAACAACATTGTGGGCAAGTGGGTCACTGTAATGGATAGTGTTAAATTTGAACTCAATGTATAATAACATTGTATAAGAAAAACGATATTTAGCGAAGACGGATAGTCCGCCTATGATATTACTAACTAGGTACTAACTAGTACTGTATTTTATGCTGTTATTGTAAATAAAATAATTTATAATATATAACCTATTTACATGGAACCTTCTTTTAAATTTTCAATTCTTAACTATAAAAGTTGAATATTTTATACATTTAACTACAAAATCATTTTTCAATTTTCAATTTCATACATTTTATAAAAATTCGAACTTTAAATGCTTGTATAAAAAATTCTGCCTATGTATTTTTAATATTTTTCAACTGCTATTGTAACATTATATCAGAAGCCTTGTATTAAATTTTCACTCTTTTTGAACCATCAAATACAATTTTATTGACAATTATAGAAAAAAACTAAAAAAATTGAAATTTTAAAATGTCTTTAAACGTTAAACAGATCTAAACGAATCAAAATATTTTGAAAATTGTATCAAGTATGGGAATTGAAAAATAAACAAATGGTGTAAATTTCAACTCATAACTCAACGTTCAAGATAAATCGACCAACTGATAGCCCCGCGCTGGCTACGAAATAGGAATACGTATCGCCCGTATCGATATCGGTATGCGTACGCAATATGCATGGTAATTCCCGGATATTTTTTATAGACAACTTAATAGTAAATATAAATAATAATAATAGCCTAATTCATAGGTATGGCCGTATGGGTCTAGACTCTAGATAGTAAATAATAATTATACCATACACCGTGACACTATGTATAAAAATATACTAAATATAGTCGTAAATCGTAAGACATAAGATCTAGTGTATAAAAACTATTTGTTTAAATAAAAAAAAAAATTAGAAAAAAAATTAATACCTCTATTTATATTAGGTATAATGTTTATGAAATATTAATATTGAAAAAAAGTCATGGGGGGATCTATCCCCCTCACCCCCCCCTGTTTGACCACCACTGTACGTCGACTATTTAAAATTTCATATTCAAAACGCAACGCACCCTGTATAATTTGTTGATGTCGACACATTGGCGAACACAATTTTATTTTACGTGACGATAACCACATAACGGGCTTAGGTAAACTTGAATTTCAGTACCCGTACTGTCTCCAACGGTGGGGGAGAATATATTATTTTGTCGGACAAAATTATACTGGTAGATGAAAACGAGTTAAGACATTTTATTTTCAAAATGTTTTATTACTGTTGTGCAGTAGAAAATTGTATTTAATGTACATACAGGTAAATACTAAAATATAGCTTAAAGTTTTAGACTTTAAACATTGAATACATTTTGAGAGTTGTTTTTTCTTAGATACCTATAATAGAAACTTAATAATAAATTTGTGTATGAATATTCAATATTATTATCTACATTTTCGTACACTTGTAACTTTGACGTTTTTAAAAAAAAAAATTAGTTATATAATTTACTATGCGTGGGCTTCCGTAATAAAAAAAAATATATTTGTAAATCAAATTGTTGTTTAAAAATATTGTTATACTTTTATTTTCTTCCGTAATGCCGTTAGTTTTTTTCTTCGTGTATCGTGTTTTTTGCAAGTCACAAGCGCGAAAAACAAGTGACAAATATTACGAAGGTTTGAGCAAATTGTTACCAAATCTTAATTGTTTAATTCCACATTATAGATTCCGAGGGGAGTGGCTTAAATTATGTGCGTTTTTTCTGTTATCAACATTCGGGGTAGTGAAAATGCTCCGATTTTTTACTGCGGCATCTTATCTGTTGACTGATAGAAATGTAATTATTACTTTTGAGAGAATAAAATTGTCAAATAAGCGAAAAATAATTTCAGTTAGATATAAGTTCATATAAGTTTTTCTGTTCATAGCTAACATTTAGTACAAGGCTCCTGATATATTGTTGCAATATCAGTTGAAAAATATTAAAAATACATATTCACAATTTTTTTTATAAGCATTTAAAGATCAAATTTTGAAAAAATTTATCAAATTTAAAATTGAATAATTATTTTGTAGTTAAAAATGTATAAAATGTTCAACTTTTATATCTAAGGATTGAAAATTTATAAAAAGATTCCACGAAGTAGTTAATTCTGTTAAAAATAAATCTAAAAAATACATAAGCACAGTTTATTTTTATAGTCATTTTAAATTCAAATTTGGATGAAATTACATTAAAAAAACCTAGAATAACTATTTTAGTTATTTTGTTGTGATTGTATAATATTATTCATTGGTACTATTGAAACTTCTAAAGTACACTATTATATATCTATGATAGTATCACGGTTTTTGTTGATGTATAACGCGTTATAAGTACCTAATGGATATTGTGATATGATTAATTTGGAATTTATTATAGGTACCAATTATAGGTCAAATTTTGGTTTAGTACCATAGATATGTATACCGTGTGTCCCAAAAATCAGGGGCCACTTTACTACTCATTACCATGTAAATATTTTTCAATTCTGTTTGCGGGACATTAAACTAGACTAATGGATCGTAAATTTCTTTGACTCACAATGTTTTTAACTCATATATCTTGCGCATGCGCAATAAAACTTACATTTTTTTAAATGGCAACCCGTAATTTTAATATCATATTCGGGTTCATCGATTTTTTTTCAAGCCATTTTGATGTATCAACTTATGTCCTAAACCCAAAATTGACTAAACTAGAGCTAAGTAGAATTTAAATAATTTAAAAATTCAATTAAATTAATTTTTTTTCTAACTGTACGTAGGTACTTATTTTTTTCTTCTAAGCACGGTGAAACAAATAATCAAGATTATTATTATTAAACTAATTAACTATTTACTATTTATGAACTATTATCTTATTTTATTATTACACATTATGAAATTGCATATGGTCTCAATTGGCCGAAACCAAAAAAGAAGAAGAAGTGTAATTTTGTTTCCATCAGAATTATAATTAAGTATCTATTAAAATAATAATGAGCACTGGTGTTTTTAGTTTTGTTATCTACCTATAGGTACCTATTAAAATGTCATTAGCTATTTTTATATTAGGTATTATGGAACTCATTATCAGAGTCATATGTCATTGCGGTCTTAGTAGTTCGACGTTTTATGTTCGCTATTGTCAATACCTTTAGGTATTATAAAGTTATAGTTTGAATTTTGTTAGAATAAAATATTAATCATGAATACTAGTGAAAGAGTACAGTTACTATTGATCTACGGAAAATGTAACAGAAACGCACGAGAAGCAACAAGAATGTACGCTCAGCAATATCCAGATCGGTATCACCCCAATCGTACTTACGTTCAAAAACTTGAAAAGTCATTGATTGAAACTGGTTCATTTAATAGAACAAATGCTGTTCAACAACAACCACGGGTAAATCAACATGTTAATGAAGTTATTGAAAATCAAGTTTTAGCGTATGTACATCTTAACCCACGTTCGTCTGTTAGGCACGTCGGACATGAAGTTGGCATACCTAAAACTTTAGTTCATAAGATTTAAAAAAAAAATAAACTACACCCTTACAAACCAGACTTAGTCCAACATTTACGCATAACAGACCCAGAAAAAAGATTAAATTTTATAGTTAGGTATATCCTCATATGTGTATAAACTAATAATATTCGCTCCCGACCTTTTCGCTCATATTTCAGTTTATAGTAGCCAGTTTTTTGCGTACTTTGTTTTAACTTCTTTGTTATAAGTTCGTCCTTAATTTGGTGTCGATTTCGTGTCGGTCCGCCCAAAACTCTCCTTCACAAGGACAATTTATGGTTTCCTCGTACATATACACGGCCGCCGAAAATACGTAAGTTTATTTATAATATTTATCTGCTCGACGGTCGCACGGACTGCGTTATCGCGCCGCCCTGTAATTACTTTTACCGATTCGAGATACGACCCGATTGCACCATCATATACAGTGTGTGCGCCGAAACTTCTCTTATACAGCGTGTCATAGTGCACGCAAATTGCCACTTAACAAAAACTTCATTCTCTTTCTACTTCTACTTGTCTACTTCAAACTATGTCCAAGCCTTCACCAGTCATCACCCGTTCGGGCTCTTCAACTTCCACTACTTCTAAGAAATCCACGTCGAACGATGACATCTTAAAAGCTATTGATCGTATCCAATCATCTCAAGATAAATTATTGGCTGGCCACAAATCCTTAGGTACTGATCTCAAAACGAGTATCAACGCTCTTACTTCACGATTTGATTCTCTCTCACTCGAAATTTCTGAGCTCCGTACTAAAGTCGACCTCTTAGAATCTAAGGTTCTAGCTCTAGAGTCAAACACACCAAATTCATCAACTGTCCCATCCACCCAAATTTCAGATGTCTTACAGGAATTTACCGAGCGGGATCGATGCAAGCTCAATATTATTATGCATGGTCTACCTGAATCCACATCGAGCGATCTCCCTACTAAAATAAACGACGATAAATTCACTGTACGCGATATATTTTCTAAACTCTCTGTCGATGAACACACTGATTTCAAATCGTTTCGTCTTGGTAAACCTACCACAATCTCAACTCGACCTCTAAAAGTTATCTTTGGCTCCTGTGAAGCTGCTTCTTCTGTTCTTACGTCCTATCGTCAAGCTAAAATCCAAAAATTGTCCCTTCTACCACTCACCAGCATTGTACGTGACAAAACTTTACTAGAACGTCAACAACTTCGTTCCTGTCACCTTGAGTTAGATCGTCGTGTAGCTGCGGGTGAACACAACCTAACCATCACGTTCAAAAACGGTTCTCCGTGCGTAATTTCCCGTTCAAAAAACGACAACCGAGTTCTTCATCGCCCTCATGTATAATCAACTCCAACACCCCCATCACTAACAACATCAATGGATACTACCAGAATTGTCGCGGCCTTCGTACTAAACTTGTTAATTTCAATTGTAATACTTCATGTTTTAACTATGTCTTTATTGCTCTTACGGAAACTTGGCTCACTAATAGTTTTTACTCTTCTGAGCTCGGTCTCAATAAATACAATATATTTAGATGCGACAGGTCTCCTCAAACCAGCTCCTGTAATCGCGGTGGTGGTGTGTTAGTAGCTGTGCGTAAAGACATTCCTTCTTCCCCCCTTAATATACCTAATAATAATGTTGAGCAATTATTTGTCCGCTTCTCTCATAACTCCTTAAATTTTATAATTGGCAGTGATTACATACCACCTTCGTCGCCCATTGAGCTTTATACTACTCATCTAAATACTATTGATTTTATTGTTCAAAAATACCCAAACCATAGTTTTATCCTCACTGGTGATTACAATCTACCATTTATTTCATGGTCAAATGATACACATGGTCTATGTTTCCTAACTCAAACAATCTCTGAATACACTTCCATTCCTGAAAGACTTGCCATCCACGGATTCTTCCAACATAATTACATATTAAATTCTCACCACTCTCTTCTCGATCTCATATTCTCCAACCTTAGCTCCATAACTGTTAAACAAGCTCTTGATACAGCCGTGCCTGCCGACACTTACCATCCACCTCTTTCACTCTCTATAAATCTCCCCATCCTTGCTCCTCAATCTACTCCCCTCAAATCATTTTATAACTTTAACAAGGCAGACTACATACAGATCACTAATTTTTTTAACTATTTCAATTGGAAACGTACCTTTCTATCTTACTCCCCTGATGATTCCATGTCTGTCTTCCTTGATGCTCTCCATTATTCAATTTTATCTTTTGTTCCTAAAATCTCTTTTCGCCCTTCCACTTTCCCGTCATGGTACACTAAGGAGCTCAAAGAACTAGTGTTTGCTAAGTCTCGCGCTCATGGTAAATTTAAGTCATCCCAGCTATTATCAGATTACAAGCATTTTTCACTTCTTCGCGCTAAATTTAAATTCATCTCCAGACAATGCTACCGTAATTTTGTCTCTCGTACCGAGTCCTCCTTATTAAGCAACCCACGTTATTTTTGGAGTTTCATTAGAAAAAACCGCTCTTCTCAATCTATTCCTTCAATTGTCACACTCAATGGTATACGGAGTACATCTCTTTCCGACACAACTAACCTTTTTGCTACATATTTTTCTTCTGTGTTCACCCAGCCTTCACTGACTCCATCCCAAACATTACATCCTACCTCCCACTTTCCACTCCCGTCTAATGCCTATTTTTCGATTAGTGACGTCTACAAATGCTTATGTTCCCTTCGCAATATTAAATCTGTTGGTCCAGATGGTATCCAGGGTGATTTCTTGTACAAACTTCGATCTGTTCTAGTAGAGCCGTTGTGGTTATTGTTTAGGCGTTCTATTGACTCAGGTATCTTTCCATCTGCTCTTAAACTTGGCTCAATTAGACCCATATTTAAAGCTGGTGATTCTACTGATGTTTCTAACTATCGTCCAATAACTATCCTCCCACATTTATCCAAATTATTTGAAACGCTTGTCCTTAACGCAATTCGCCCTTCCTTGAATCATATCCTAATTGATGAGCAACATGGCTTCCGTCCTGGTAGATCAACTGTTACTTGTAACCTTAGTCTTCATTCATATATATATGATGCTTTTCGCGATAACTGCCAAGTAGATGTAATCTATACAGATTTTTCCAAGGCTTTCGATCGTGTTGATCATAATCATCTTATGTCAACCCTAGACTCTATAGGCATCGGCGAACCTCTACTATCCTGGCTTCACTCTTACATCACAAATAGGATACAATGGGTAACTGTTGATTCCACCTCTTCTGACCACTTTACCCCCTCCTCAGGTGTACCACAAGGTGCTGTTCTTTCTCCACTTCTATTTGCCCTATTCGTAAACTCAGCCACCTCCGTCCTCCAGCATGCTAAACTTCTTATATTTGCTGATGATATGAAAATATTTTTCCGCATAAAATCCATCTCTGACTGTCACCTTCTCCAAAACGACCTTCAGCGATTAGTAACATGGGGTGAATCTTTGGGGCTAGCTCTGAATATTACTAAATGCTCAGTAATGACTTTTTGTCGTATTAATGCCGTAATTAAGCATACTTACTCTGTAAACAATACCCCCTTAACAACTTGTAATAATTATATAAAAGATTTAGGATTCACTCTTACTCGAAACCTGTGCCCTAGTATGCACATTCAGTTAATCTGTTGTAAGGCTCTTAAACTGCTTGGTTTCATAAACCGTATCTCCACAGACTATCACTTGATCACACCACTAAAAACTCTTTTCTGTTCCTTAGTCCGTCCCATCCTTGAATATGGTACCATCCTCTGGGACCCATCCACCGCTTCTGCACGTAGCATGATAGAAAGGGTTCAAAGAAAATTCCTCCGTCATGCTGCTTTCAAATTAAACATATTCTGCCCACCTCACGATTACACGCCAATCCAACGCCTTTTTTCCTTAGAAAGTCTCGCCGATCGTCGCCATTCAGCCAACTTAAAATTTCTTTCTAATCTTCTTTCCTCTAAAATAGACAGTCCTGAATCACTATCCCGTGTCTCATTTAATGTTCCCTCCCGCCGTACACGATCATCTGTTCCATTTAATATTCCTTTCTCTTCCTCAAACTACTATCTTAACTCACCGATCATCCGTCTTATGCGCATTGCCAACACTGACCCTTCATTCTCACTCTAAATTGAGCCTCGTTTCCATAATCAAACTATTATTTCTATTATTATTATTATACTATTTTCATGTATTATAGGGTTCGTCCAGTATTGTAAAAAATAAATAAATAAAAAAAATAAATAAATAAATAAATTTCTTGGTTTATGGTAACGTCTGAGGATGATCCATTATTAATTAATCATATTTTGTGGACTGATGAATGTAAATTTACTAATAATGGAATATTAAATAAGCAAAATAATCGTTATTGGTCGAATTAAAATCCTCACTGGGCTGTTCCTACAAACTTCCAAACATGTTGGGGTACAAATGTATGGGTTGGTTTGATTGGTGGTAAGTTACTTGGGCCCCATTTCTATGACGGAACTTTAACGGGAAGAAGATACTTAGATTTTTTGCATGATGACTTGCAATTACTGCTTGATGATTTACCATTAGATATACGTAGAAAAATGTATTATCAGCAAGACGGGGCACCTGCTCATAATGCCCGAATTGTCCAAGAATTTTTGACAGTAAGATTTGGCTAAAAATTTATTGCTACACATGGACCAGTAGAGTGGCCCCCAAGGTCACCAGATCTAACACCGTTAGATTTTTTTTTGTGGGGACACTTGAAAAATGATGTGTATGCTGATCCTCCAATCAACATACAAGATTTAAAGAATAAAATTACACACGCATTAACATGTAAACGAAAACGAAATACTGGCAGCAACTAATCTTGAATGTTTACGTCGATTTGAGGCATGCACTTTACACGATGGAGGGACTTTCGAACAGTTTATTGAATAGTTTATGTCTGTAATTTCTGTAAATTAAATTGTAAATAAAAATGTATAGTAATGGTAAAAAAAAATAAAATAGAAATGTTGTTTCTTGAAAATACATGTTTAAACTATGTTATTTTATAATGCGTAATAATAAAATAAGATAATAATTCATAAATAGTAAATAGTTAGGTACCTAATTAGTTTAATAATAATAATTTTGATTGTTTGTTTGTTTGTTTCACCGTGCTTAGAAGAAAAAAATAAGTATGTACAGTTAGAAAAAAAATTAATTTAATTGAATTTTTAAATTATTTAAATTCTACTTAGCTCTAGTTTAGTCAATTTTGGGTTTAGGACATAAGTTGATACATCAAAATGGCTTGAAAAAAATCGATGAACCCGAATATGATATTAAAATTACGGGTTGCCATTTAAAAAAATGTAAGTTTTATTGCGCATGCGCAAGATATATGAGTTAAAAACATTGTGAGTCAAAGAAATTTACGATCCATTAGTCTAGTTTAATGTCCCGCAAACAGAATTGAAAAATATTTACATGGTAATGAGTAGTAAAGTGGCCCCTGATTTTTGGGACACACGGTATAATATGTCTTATACCTAGACTGACATACCGTCTCCGCTCAGAATCGTTTTTCTTATAATACAATGATATTATATCGTTGAATTCAAATTTAATATCATCCATTATACAGTGACCCACATGTAACCTACTGTACAGCAGAGCGACACCCACTTGCCCACCTTTTTTTTGTTTGGGGGCAGTAGATTGCTTTGATTTTCTTCAACAGTATCTTGTTCGATGGGAAAGTGAATCTACATAGTTGGTGCATTAGGGAGGTCAAAAATTCCCAATAGTTCCCAAAAGCAACATAAAAGTTAAGTAAAGATGGGAATTTTCATGTAAATTTCACTGAATGTTTTTATTTTCATTTTCTATTCACCATACAATTTTGTCTCTTTTTGAGCTATTAACGGATAATACAAAATTTCTTGTATAACTGACATATAAATAGAACACCAAGTTCTAGATAGCTTTTGTTGGTAGATCCAATTTTAGATTCTGAGTGAAACGATGAATGTATTGATTTTACAATGATGTGTGTTTTTTTTTTTTTTTTGTGTCTGAGTACACGATAAGTAGTCGAAATTATGCTTCGATTTTCGACTTCAGTATCTTGTTCGATTGGAAAGTGAATATCGTTGGTGCATTGGGGAGGTCAAAATTTAAAATTCCCAGTACTTTTCAAAAGCGCCAAGAAAAACAAAAGAAAAATTAAGGAAAACGGGCATTTTTACGCAAAATCGATTTTTCAGAAAATTGAATTTGGTTTTTGGTGTAACTTTAAAACAAATGACCGTAGATACATGAAATTTTCATTGGTTGTTTATATTTGCATTTTCTATACAC